AGCAGCTACTAATAGTTCCAGATATAGCAATATACAAAATGAGAGCTCTGCAAACAATTCATTTCGGATTGTATTTCTACCCACAAACATATATTGATATTGTTTACCCGTCCTGATCTTGGCGGATACTGAATATAGTAGAGTAGAATATTATTTAACAAATTGACCGGAAAAGGATTACGTTTCGTAAAAAGCATGTGTCTTTTCTAACGGTAGTTTACATGATATGTAACTTGGATTGGGAGTTAAGGAAGCTATGGAACCAGTGCTATGTGAATGAATTTTGATTTTTATGATAGCTGCATCAAGGCAGCCTTAAGCTATGAAGGGTCAAGTTTTTAGTTTAAAAGAATGCTTATAAAATCACACTGTGCCAAATGAAGATTTGAAAAATTACCTTGACCACCAACGCCAGTATTACCACAGCATCGCGAATTTAATCTGTAGATATCCCTACCGATGTCTTCATACTTATATTGAGCCAACATTAGCCGAATCCTTTCATCATCTGATATCATACCACCCCACCATCCACCGTTTTCGTCTTTAAAACTCATAGATTGAAATTCAACCTTATCGTCTTTATTGTCAGTGCCATCTTGTCCAGTTCCACCATTTCCACCTTTCAATGTCACAGTCAGCAATTCACCATTGACCACTTCATTTGTGAAAGCAAAAAATTGTCAAGCATCCCTGAAACAAGAACGTACAAATTTCGGCAACGTTGCATTAGAGCGAATATGAATGAACGTAATGAGAAATGTAGCGAGAAATTACGTTCATTCATAATCACTAGTGAAGCCACCAAGGGGCAATCCACTCAAAAGTAATACATAATACCTGCGAAGTAATATGAAGTAATACTAGGTAAAAATGGTATTACTTTTGATAAAGTAATAATCCTTTTAAAAATAATACTATTGTTTGAAAAAAGTAATACTAAAGTAATACAAGGTAATATTTACATTAGTATTACTTAAACTAATACTAATACACAGTATTACTTTTGAGTGGTTTGCCCCTCGGAAGCCACGTTGCCAAAACATGTACGTTCTTGTTTCCTTACTGCGCACTTCTTTTCTACGGTGAAGCAGACTGCTTTGTTGATGTGTATAACAATACGGGTAAAACACCGGCGCTCCGAGGTTTTCATACAAACTTCCCATGTTAGACGATCCGAAACAGGCAAAAATCGAAAAAAAAGTTTAATTTTTTTTTCGATTCTCATATAGTATTTTTTTTGCCCAATCCATTGGTGTTATCACCACATCAGTTAATTTGCATCATGTGATAAATGCGAGTTACGTCATCAATGGCTCGGGAATCAATTGAAATGAAACACACGAAAAAATATTCGAGTAACAAAACAATGTGATACAGATCCATTCATATGAAACAATGCGAGAGGATTCGTTCATAACGACACTGCAGACAAAAAATCTATCAAAACGGAACACCGCAAAGCGAAATACTTAAAACGGCACATGCTATGTTTCATTCTTACGGATTTCTTTTCCATGTTCCATTTCAATGGATTGTTTTCAGGGAGTGTAACTCCGAGGAGGAGGAATGGTGAGGAGGTGAATGAGGAGGAGGAGAGCGCTGAGGAGGTTCCTCCTCCTCACATGAGGAGGAAATAAAAATTACCAAAATTGAGTCATATAAATTTATTTTAAACACTTTTATTGATTTGGAACGAATGCCAACGATGAAAAGCTACGATCAAAATCAATAGAAGTGTTTAAAATAAATTTATATGCCTCAATTTTGGTAATTTTTATTTCCTCCTCATGTGAGGAGGAGGAACCTCCTCATTCACCTCCTCACCATTCCTCCTCCTCAGAGTTACACTCCCTGATTGTTTTATTTTTGTTTCGTATCTGTGTATTGAGCGACGAAAGTCTCATTTTCATTTCAACCGCATCAATTCAAATATTTACAATTTCATAATTTCTTTAGAATTTGATTTTAAATTTGATTGAAGTTGTTGTCATACGCCAATCGTTGAGTTGTGTTGCGTACGCGGTTTGATCTTCTAAATTCCGAAATCGGCGGCAAACCAGTGGCAATCGGAGTTGAATTCAGAGTGTTGTCGCTGGATACAGTTGGTTCTGGATCGATGACTGGTTCTGTGTATGCTTCGGTTGTCACTGTTGCTTGAGGTGGTGAGTTCGGAGTGTGTGTTGATGTGTGTTTTGGGTTTGTGTTCGAATCGGCGATGTTTTCGTCCTTGGGAGTAGTTTTGTACTGTGTAGGTTTGATTTCTTCGCCGACACGATGAATTTGATCGGTGTGACGCTTCCACATTCTGCCATCGTCAAGCAAAACATGATAATGCAATTTGCCCAACACTTCGTGAATTCTCCCAAATTGATACTTTTTATCGGCGTAGTCGCGAACTGATACGCGCTCACCTACTTGGAATTTTCGTGTCACTTCGGGTGGTGTTTCTTTTGTTTGTGTATTGTGGTTCGGCAATAACAAATCCAATCTTGAACGAATTTGTCGATTAAACATGCGTTGTGATGGTGACTCACCCGTCGCTGAATGTTGCATTCGTCGATAACACAAAAGAATATGTGTTACATCTCGGTCCAAGTTTTTTGTGTTGCTTTTCAATGCTTTGAGTTTGTCTTTGAGCATTTGTACGTATTTTTCTGCTTGTCCGTTCGTTGCTGGGTGGTATGGTGCACTGCGACGATGTATTGGGTCAATTCGAAAGTTTCCGCCGCTGACATTTAAATGTCGCCCCTTGTAACTGAGCGTAGCTTGACAAGTGAATCCAATTGCATTTTGTAGATGTGACATTTAGCAATCTAACTCAGAGCAGAAAGATTCATTTTTCGTCCTGCGTCATTGTTTTTGAATCGATTGAAAATGGATCGTGATAAGGTGTTTTTTCGAGGGGCTCTTCTTTTCTTATTTGATTCGAAGAAAACTGCCGCCGAAGCTCATCGAATGCTGTCAGATACTTATGGCGAGCAAGCTCCATCGGAACGAAGCTGCAGAGAATGGTTTCATCGATTCAAAAGTGGTGATTTTGACTTGAAAGACAAAGAACGTTCAGGTCGGCCAGAAGCGATTGAAGATGTCGATTTGCAAGCATTATTGGATGAAGACCCAACCTAAACGCAAAAAGAACTTGCATTGCAGTTAAACGTCGGCCAAACGACCATTTTCAGACATTTACACGCCATTGGAAAGATTCGGAAGCTGGGAAAATGGGTTCCACATCAACTGTCTGAAGAGCAACTTCAAGCACGAATCGCAATATGCACAAAACATCTTGCAGAGCACAAAAGAAACAGTTTTTTGTATCGGATTGTTACCGGCGATGAAAAATGGGTTTATTATGAGAACCCCAAACGTAAGGCAGCGTATGTTGATCCAAGCCAACCGGCACCATCACAACCAAAACGAGATATTCATTGCCATAAGATCATGCTATGCATCTGGTGGGATATGAAAGGAGTCGTATATTATGAGCTGCTAAATTCAGATCAAACGATCAATAAGGAACGCTATCGACGCCAATTGGCCAGTTTGGCACGTGCATTGAACGAAAAACGGCCATTAATAGCCCGAAAACACCACAAAGTTTTGTTCCACGATGACAATGCGAGGCCACATCGTGCAAAAATCGTCAAACAAAAGATAGAGCAGCTCGATTGGGATCGGCTTGATCAGCCCGCGTACTCTCCAGACCTTGCTCCTTCTGACTACTACTTGTTCCGTTCGATGCAAATGGCCCTGTCCGAAGTACGCTTTCAAAATGAAGAAGAAGTACGAAAATGGATAGATGACTGGATAGCTCCAAAAGATGAAGACTTCTTCACACGAGGAATCCACAAGCTGCCAGAAAGATGGCGGGAAGTCATAGCTAACGATGGCGAATACATCGGTTAATGTACATTTTCAATTTATTTTGCAATAAATGTATTTTTAGACAAAAAAAAGGCGGAAATTTTCGAATTGACCCAATATGACTCCGTTCATGCGCAAAAATTGCTGTGCCATTATCACTTACTAATCTGGGAATCCCAAACGTTGCGAAAATTCTGCGTAGGATTCTTATCGTTGCGTCCGTTGTGATTTGGTTCATGATGCAAATTTCTGGCCATTTGCTGTATGCGTCGACCAAAATGAAGAAATACTTTCCCATCAATGGACCAGCAAAATCGATTTGTACCCTGTCGAATACGTTTTCGGGCGTCTCCCAAATGTGTGTTGTGATTTTCGGTGGATTTTTGCGTGTTTCTTGACATGAGACGCAATTGAGTGTTATGTGCTCAATGTCTGAATCCAACCCTGGCCACCAAACGTAGCTACGAGCTAAAGATTTCATCTTCATTGTACCAAAATGTGCTTCATGCAATTCGTTGAGTACTGTCTTTCGAAGCGATGGTGGTACGTACACGCGTGTACCTCTCAGCAAACAACCCTCCTGTGAAGCAAATTCGGTTTGCTCCACTCCAAAACGGTCATGTTTTCCAACGATTGTGCCAAATTTTAAACCGTGGATCAGTTTGCTTACCGTTTCGTCGTTTTTCATAGCATCGGCCAAATGTGTTACAGTTAATGGTAAATTTTCGATAAAATTTACTTCGATGAGATCGATCTCACCAGTAAACATCCCATACTGTTACACGCCGATTTTCAAATGCCCATGCGCGTTCGAAAGGGCATCCCTCAAAACCCCCAAATGTAATTCATTTGGGGGGTAAAGGGTTTTTTTCACCATATTTCGGGGTTATATTGGTGTTTTTTGCGATTTTTTTTCACTTTTCAACCCCTGCCCTTCGAACTGGGGCAACATGGGGGGCCAACACTATGTGCCAATGAAATCTATGGGACCAGGCGCAACTTTCGTGGGATATAACTTATTTGCCCATTTGAGTTTTAAGGGGTGAAAAATGCGTCGAAAGTGTTGGGGGTGAGTTTTTTTAACTTTCAAAGGCGAATTCAGGGCAGGAGGGAGGGTTTTTCGGGAAAAAAGTGTTCGAAGCCTAAGGCTAATTTTTTGCAAATACAAAAATGTGATTATTTTGGGGGCAAAGAGGGGTTTGGACCCTATTTTGGGGCTTTATTGGTCATTTTTCGCTATTTTTGCACTTTTTGACACTCCCCCGCGTCACAGGGGTAGAGAGCAGGTCCACTCAAAGTGTCATTTGATTATGTAGAGTATAATGAACATTTCATATCAATAAACTACTGTTCCCAAACCATTTCTTATATGAAAAAAGTGAATTGGCATGTAAAAACCACGATTTTCAGCCCCAAAATAAACATACCCCCATAACTACCCCAAATATGAATATGGGATCGTAATATTTTGTTTTTGGGGGTTTTGAGGGATGCTCTTTCGAACGCGCATGGGCATTTGAAAATCGGCGTGTAACAGTATGGGATGTTTACTGGTCAGCTGGAATCATTGACGTATGCGGCTCTGGTAAACCTAAAAGTGCGTCTGCGTTGCAATGGTCGCTTGATTTTCGGTATCGGATCTCATAGTCGAACGATGATAAAAATATCGCGTAGTGTTGCATTCTCGTCGCTGATAACGTAGGTAAACCTTTATCCGGCGATAAAATTTGTGTTACTGGTTTGTTGTCACTTTGAAGAATGAAATGACGTGCGTAAACGTATTGATAAAATTTCTTCACTCCAAGAATGATTGCGTATGCTTCACGGTCATATTGACTGTATCTCTGTTGTGTTGGTGTGAGTGTCTGTGAAGCGAATGCAATAGGCCTTTCCGTGCCGTCGGGGTAAATGTGACTTAAAACTGCGCCAACTCCGACTGGACTTGCATCCGTTGCAAGTACCAACGGCAATCGTGGATCGTAGTGCACCAAATGTTTTGTCGATGCAATTTCCTTTGAGTAAGTTTGTGAGTGGAAATGCAACAGTGCTGAGGTTCCTAAAAAATCGGCCGTAATAATTGACTAAACCGATGAAAGAACGTACCTCGTCTTTGTTCACTGGTTCCCTGAGGTTTTGAATTGCCTCAACTTTCAGCTCCAATTTGTGTATGCCGTGTCGGTCGATGCGGTATCCACAGTACGAAATTGATTCTTGCATGAATTCACACTTGTCGAAATTTACTCTCATGTTGTGTTTGTCGAGACGTTGTAGTACCAATTCCAATCTTTGTAGATGAATTTCGTCGTTTGGTGCCGTGATTTTTATGTCGTCCAAAAACACAGTGACACCATCAATATCTCGAAGTACATTTTCGATCTCTCGTTGCCATTTGGCCGGACCCGATGCAATGCCATACATCAACCGTGTCGGTTGATACAAACCCTTGTGTGTTGAGAGGGTGAGATATTTCTGATCGTCTTCGTGTACTTCCATTTGTAAATATGCTTTGGTGAGGTCAATTTTCGTGAATTTGTCTCCGCCAGGCATTTGCGAAAACAACTCTTCCATTGAAGGCAGTGGGTGTTCATCGATGAGTATGCGTGGGTTAACGGTGATTTTCTAATCGCCACAAATACGGACCTTGTCGTTACTCTTTGGAACTGGAACAATCGGTGTTGCGTATTCGCTGGTTTCGACTTTTTTCAAGACGCCATTCCGAACCAATTCGTCCAATTCTATTTCGATTCGTTTACGCATTGCAAAAGCTGGTTTACGTGCTTTCTTAAAAATTGGTGGTGTGTCTGGTTTCAAATGAATGCGTGCCTTGAGACCGGTGATTTTACCCATTGATTGTGCATCGAACACACGCGGATATTTTTGTTTCAACGTGTTGAGAGCGGTTTGTCCATCGATTTGTGAAACCATGTGCTCCCCACGAAACACTTTGTTCCAGTCAAACGGCAATACGCGTAACCATTCACGTCCCAAAAGTGAATGCCTGTTTGAATCAACGATTTACATTCGCAGTTTGCATTCTTTTCCCATTGATGTGACGTTGACGAACACAAACCCATACACTTTGATTCCGTTGCCTGTGTAGCTAACCAAATTGATGTCCGATGGTTTCAACTCATTTTCGTTGAGCGTGCCGATGTATTGTTCGTAGTCGTTTTTGCTGACGGTTGCCACCGGTGAGCGCTGTAAATTTCGAAATCTAGAAAAGAAGAAGAATTTATTTGCATGTTTATCCAAAATTTCTCACGTTTTGTGTGCTTAGCTTCGGTCGTCGTGATGTGAAACAACTCTTCGTACTCATCAACGGCATTCACGATCTCAGTGTAGTTTGCCTCCGCTGATTTCGTCGTTTGTTGCTTCTTTGACTTGATACATACGCTCTGTAAATGTCCGTTTATTTTACAGGCCTTGCAAAATAGGTTTTTCTTTTGGCAGTTGTTGGTGGCGTGTGCCTCTCCGCAGCGATAGCATTGGACCTTCTTTGGATTTTTGTTGCTGTTTTCCTTCTTGTTCGTTGAACGGTTCTTCTTTTCGTGCGGTGACTCACTTCTTTGAGGTTATGTGCGATCTCGACGTTGCCTTGGTCAGATAGTTCCATTTGACGTGCTATCTTAATCGCCTTTCCCAAGTCCAAATCTGTCTGCTCCAACAGTCGGCTACGAATTGCTTTGTTTTTCAGACCGAAAACAAACTGATTTCTCAAAGCGGTGTTGAGATACGTTCCGAAATTGCAGTTTAAAGCAACTTTTATGAGTTCAATTGCAAATTCGTCCACTGATTGATGTTCCAATTGTCGACTCAAGTGAAAACGGTAGTTTTCAACTATTTCCAGTGGTTTTGGGTCGAACACTTCGATCAATACTTTGCACACATCTTCGTAATTTTTTTTCTCTGGCTCATCGGGTGATAATTTGTCGCACAGTGTGTTGTAATATGTGGCGTAGCCGATGTGATGTAAAAGTAAATGTAACTTTTTATCTTCTGGTGTTTCGTTGATTATGAACGCGCTTTCCAGACGTTTTTGCCAACGGCTCCACAGTATTTTTTCACGGTCAAATTTCTCAAAATTGAAAAATACTTGCGATTTTGTTTGCGATGTGCTTGGATTTTGGCCCGTTTCGTTTGCCATTTTGATTATTTTCATGGATTGCTGAGCTAATCGATGAAATTTCACAATGTGATTACTGTACTACGTGCAAAATTGATGGAGATGAAAAAATGTGATTGCAATGTGGTTGCGGTGTAATGTGTATGCAAAATCTGTTAGTGTAATGTTTTTTTTCTGCGCTCTGTTCTTCTACCTTGTCGCCATTGTTCTATTGTCTGTAATCGAATGAAGTTTTATTTGCGTTCAATATTGACAGCTGATGAAATGTCAAACTTAAAAGTAAAGGCTGGTTTTAGTATTTACGTCATGACAAATACCAATTCGGTGGAATTTCAGCTGATCCATGGATTCTCAGGATTTGATCTGATTCTACCACTTCAATTTCTTTGCGTTGTGGTAAAATTCCATACAAAACATAGGTAGAATGACATTATAGATGCACATAAAAAACGTTGACGTTTGACAGCTACGCTGACAGTTGTGTTTTTTTTCGTCTCTCGTCTTT